TCAGCAATTCTCTCCGTCCCTTAGACATCAAGCTTACTTTCCGCCAGACTAACACTCTTCGCACTAATCTCGTTCATACTTCTTCTCCCTCTACAGATGTTCCTGGTGTCTACTCTATTTCTTGCTCCTCCTGTCCTCTTCAATACTTTGGAGAAACTGGCCGATCTCTTTTTGACAGACTTAGAGAACACAAAAATAGTGTTAGGCTTGCCGACACTAACAATGCTCTGTTCTGTCACGTCAGAGATCACAGCCATCCTATAGACTGGTCTTCCGCTAAAACAGTCTTCCCTACTTCCAACTCGAACAGTCGCCGTGTAAGTTGAATCCTCTCTAATACACAACTTTCCTTGTATGAATCTTAGTCCTGGCTTCGTCTCTGTAGATGCCTTCCTCTCCCACTACATTGTAAAATGCTCCAAACTTCAGAACACCCGTGACTTAACCTGACTCCTCATTTTTTTTCTTCTTCTCCCTTTTCCACTTTCCTCTTTCCTTTTTTGTCTTTCTTCTGTCACGTGTTTCTGTTCCTTCATTATTTATTTCATCACTTCCCCTTCCCCCCACCTCTGTGCACTTGCTCTCCCTCTGTGGGCACCTAGCTCCCTTGCAGTGCTCCCCTTTCTTTATATTTGACTGGCTCCTCCTTAATTCCCCACTACTACCACTACTACTACCACTACCACTACTACTACTACTACCACCACTACCTCTTCCTGCCTATATATAGCCGTCCTGCTCCACTTCTGGTTAGTGTGACTTTGTAAATGGTCCAAGTCGGACCGAAACGTCGTCGTAAGCTACTCTCTTCTATGTGCGGGTTATTTGTGTATCGTTCGTCACGGTATCGTGCCTTTTTTGTTCTCTTTTGTCTGTGTGACTTGTACACGGTACAAGTCGGTCCGAAACGTCGACATAAGCTTTCTCTCCTATGTGCGGGTTGCTTGTGTATTCAGGAACTTTAACAAAGAATCCATCGACATGGAGCTCGACGCCTGGTCAAGCACATGCAGAAGCTCGAAAAAGGTCCAAACCAGACCAGTACCAGAACTGAGGGAAAATTACTACGAGGATAGGTTGAATTGAGCCTGACGACCTTGGCTGAGAGGAGGGGGGGGAGGGGCGGCATGATCACATGTTAGGTACACAGACACATGTGTAACTAATGTGACATTGTGTTGTGACAACGTTTCACTCTCCAGAGCTTTGTGAAGCTTGACAAAGCTCCTGGAGAGCGAAACGTTGTCATATTAGTTACACACGTGTCTATACCTAACATGGTCGGTAATTCTTCCATTATTACTAATGATTACAACATGCAATTTCCTAACACGAAGTGATAAAGAAGTTAAGAAAAAAATATGTTGAAAATTATATAAAATACCGATACCTTGATTAAGACACAAGTACAACAGTTAGCAAACGTTCAACAACAGTGTGTGGTGATTAAGAGCAGATTGTTTGAATAAAGACGACCATGATCAAGGGGACACTGGTGGAAGCCTACAGCACAGACCAACCACAGTTATGTAAGAATTATTTCTTTAGTCTCAGGGTATTTGAGAAGTGGAATGACTCGGACGAGGCAGTGATAGAGGTAAACTAAGTACACAGCTTCTGGACTAGATATGATTAAGGACCCCCCCCCCAAGAGGTCAGAAATCAGTGATGGTGATAAAAGCAGCCTTGAAGGCAGGGCCAGGAGCCGAGTCTCGACCCCCCTGGAAACACAACTCGGCTGAGTATACCCACACAATTATCAGTAATATCATACCAACTTTGAAATACCCACAGGATGGGTACGGGACGTATAATGAAGATGTGAAACTAACTCTAAAACTCCTTACTAACCTGTAATGAGCATTGACTTACTGGCAGCAACAGCCTGGTTGATCAGGCGGTCCAGGACACACTACAGCCTCAAGCTGAGATAGGAGAATACCAGCACTCACGTCACTGACCACAGGTTAGTGACAGGTGTGCTCACGAAGACTGGCAAGGAGGAACTGATCAGTGGAGGGCGGGCACTCTTGAAGGAGTGAGAGGGGGAGAAGGAACTAAGGAGAGGGGGAGAAGGAACTAAGGAGAGGGGGAGAAGGAACTAAGGAGAGGAAGAGAAGGAACTAAGGAGAGGAAGAGAAGGAACTAAGGAGAGGAAAAGAAGGAACTAAGGAGAGGAGAAGGAACTAAGGAGAGGAGAAGGAACTAAGGAGAGGAGAAGGAACTAAGGAGAGGAGGAGAGAGGAGAAAAAGAAGTGGAGACAGAACAAAGAGGAAAAGACAGGATGCGAGGTAGAGATAGGAGACAGATAAGGATAGAGAATAAAATCAATGGAGAGAGTGAGAGAGAGGAGAGAGAGAGAGAGGAGAGAGAGAGGAGAGAGAGAGAGAGAGAGAGGAGAGAATGGGGGAAACCGGTCTGGCAAGGTAAGGTGAGGGGGCAGGGTGTGGAGGATACAGGGTGTGGAGGATACTGGGTGTTGGAGGATACAGACTGTGGAGGATACTGGGTGTTGGAGGATACAGGGTGTGGAGGATACTGGGTGTTGGAGGATACTGGGCATCGAAGATACTAGGTGTGGAGGATACTGGGTGTGGAAGATACTGGGTGTGGAGAATACAGGGGTGGGAATACAGGAAGTGAGGAAACAGGGTGGGGGATACAGGGTGTGGAGGATACTGGGTGTGGAAGATACTGGGTGTGGAGGATACTGGGTGTGGAAGATACTGGGTGTGGAAGATACTTGGTGTGGAGGATACTGGGTGTGGAAGATACTGGGTGTGGAAGATACTGGGTGTGGAAGACACTGGGTGTGGAGAATATAGGTGTGGGAATACAGGGAATGAGGAAACAGGGTGGGGGATACAGGGTGTGGAGGATACTGGGTGTGGAGGATACTGGGTGTGGAGGATACTGGGTGTGGAAGATACTGGGTGTGGAAGATACTGGGTGTGGAAGATACTGGGTGTGGAAGATACTGGGTGTGGAAGATACTGGGTGTGGAAGATACTGGGTGTGGAAGATACTGGGTGTGGAAGATACTGGGTGTGGAAGATACTGGGTGTGGAGAATACAGGGGTGAGAAAACAGGGTGGGAATACAGGGTGTGGAGGATACTGGGTGTGGAAGATACTGGGTGTGGAAGATACTGGGTATGGAGAATATAGGTGTGGGGATACAGGGAGTGAGGAAATAGGGTGGGGATTCAGGGTGTGGAGGATACTGGGCGTGGAAGATACTAGGTGTGGAGGATACTGGGCGTGGAAGATACTAGGTGTGGAGGATACTGGGTGTGGAAGATACTGGGTGTGGGGATACTGAGTGTGGAAGATACTGGGTGTGGAGGATACTGGGTGTGGAGAACATAGGTGTGGGGATACAGGGAGTGAGGAAACAGGGTGGGGGATATAGGGTGTGGATACTGGGCGTGGAAGATATTGGGTGTGGATGATACTGGGTGTGGAGAATATAGGTGTGGGGATACAGGGAGTGAGGAAACAGGGTGGGGGATACAGGGTGTGGAGGATACTGGGTGTGGAAGATACTGGGTGTGGAAGATACTGGGTGTGGGGATACAGGGAGAAAGGAAATAGGGTGGGGATACAGGGTGTGGAGGATACTGGGCGTGGAAGACACTAGGTGTGGATGATACTGGGTGTGGAAGATACTGGGTGTGGAGGATACTGGGTGTGGAGAATATAGGTGTGGGATACAGGGAGTGAGGAAACAGGGTGGGGGATATAGGGTGTGGATACTGGGCGTGGAAGATATTGGGTGTGGAGGATACTGGCTGTGGAGGATACTGGGTGTGGAGAATATAGGTGTGGGGATACAGGGAGTGAGGAAACAGGGTGGGGGATATAGGGTGTGGATACTGGGCGTGGAAGATACTGGGTGTGGAGGATACAGGGTGTGGAGAATATAGGTGGGGATACAGAGAGTGAGGAAACAGGGTGGGGGTACAGGGAGGATACATGACCTTCAAGAGAGGCTCCCTGAGATTACAAGCACAACCCAGCTCAGCAAGGTCATCCCCCGCCCCAGGCTGCTGGTACAAGGGGTGGATGTACCTCTGTGCACCCTGCACACGGTGCACCCCCTGTGCACCCTGATATATGTACACACGTGCACCGTGTACACCCGGAATATGAGCTTGTAAGAGTTAGTTTAATGTTTATTATGCACCCCATACCCATCCTAGCTTGTAAGATAATTGCCAATAAAATGTACTTCTATAATTATCGGTAAAAGTCAGTTTGTTTACCTTAACCCGTGATTATCTCAGTACTTATATTCCTTAAGTGACCAGTGTTCTTTATCTTAATTTTAAGGGAGTTTTAAGAGGGTAGTCGCCTTCTGGGAACACCGAGGATGGAAGGGATGAAGCCTTGTTCACCCTGGTTATCTCGCAAAAACGGGTATACCAAGTACGAGTATACCAAGAATGGGTATACCGTACCTATAATATTTATATGATTTTTTCCCCAATGGTTTTTGTGTGATTCAGCAGTTTCTGTGTGATGACTTAAGAACGCTTCTTCTGGTCGATTTCAAACTTTCATGTGAAGTGTATCTCACTGAGGCTTATTGGTTTGTGTGGTAACCAGAGAATGCTGTTTCTGATCGTTTTCAAACCTTTAGCTTTGATGTGTTCTTATAAGACGGTTTACATTATTTTGTGGCTATATAAGCAGTAACTTACCATTTTTAATTAACTGGTAGCATGTTGATTTTTGTGATAACTTGAGAATGCTTATTTCGATCGACTTTAAACTCTTAGTACTGGAATACCATAGTGATTTGAGGGTTTATTTAGTTCTGGATGGTGTAAATTCTAATATGACAATCCATTGGTCTACAAATATTGAACAGTTGTGTGTTTCGTAGGAAAACTGCCATTTGAAGGTTTTTCTGGTGTCGAAAACAAATATGTCCATAATAACAATAGAATGTCTAAATTTTCGAAGGAAATTTATTTACACAGTATATTAGTACGTACCTGCATAATGAATTCCCTTATACTGATTCAAGCCGACACTTGTTTGCCTGTCTTGTATTCCACTACTGGAGCATCTCTCGTTATTATCCGGTAATGGTCTGCTAACAATGACGGACTCCATGTTCCCCCGATATTGTTTCTCCATGACCAACCTGTCCTGGTAGTAACGTCCATGTTAATCGATAACTCCTCAGCTTTCTGGAAAAGAAAATCTAGATGCAAATGGAGGAAATGTATCTTTAAAGACATTGAAGCCCATTTTTTGATATGCCTAAGTAGGTTTTTCCACTAGCATCCCTGTGTCAGCTCTGATATTTCTGAGATATACTTGCTAGCTACTAATCTGAAAGCAACCCACACATTTTTCTCCTCACCAACTATGATACGGTCAAGCTCATCTGAAAGAAGCTCGAGAATGTGTGTGCCAACAAATACCCTCTCGATTTTTTCTTCACCGAGTATTAGGAATTTACCACCGAGGTATTTCAAGGCTGTCGTCGTTTCATCTATAGCCTCAAGAAGTTTCCTCACGCAGCCTCACGTGCAAGGGTGGTAACAAAATCCTGCTCGATTTTACAAGAGAAAGATGATAAACATTTATTAATCCACGTTCAAGTGAGTGTCGGAGTGGCCAGTCCTTGATGTATTGAGAAGTCCTCACCCGACTAACTCATTCACACAGAAAACAGCAATACCTAGTGTAGCCTAGCTGCAGTCCTAGCAAGGTAGTAACAGCTTTCTTGTCGTCACAAAGCTGCCACTGATGCTTGTCCTGGTTTATTCAGCTCAAAATCTGCCTTAATGTTGTTATATGTTTCTTTCATGTGGACTGCATAACTAACTGGAATTAATGGCAACAAGTTGCCAATATGCAATAAAATAGCCTTTAGTCTCAACTTCATGATGAATACTCATCAAAATTATGAGTAATTTTTAGGGTTGCTAATATGATCACAGACGTCGTTGCAGGGTTCAAGGCCACCTTTCACGATGAACAATAAGACGAAATCTTTTTGGCGGCCACGAAACTTTAAATTTTTCAGCAATAGATCTCACTGCTACGTCAGGATCCTACCAGTTCTGCCTTACTCCTGACAGTTCTAAAACTCTGCTATCTGTTTAATTCAGAGTTATGTGCAGCTTAGATGTCAAGTTATGAACATATTCAAGGTCTTGTAAAATTGAAGACTCGCAAATATCTCAGGTTCCGTCATTCTCCCATCCTCATACTCAAGGTTGAATAATTTGAGAATTTAAGTCCTACAGCGTGAGGCACCAGGCATATAGCAGAGGGTATATTACGATATTGTACAACCCATTTCTTTTCTAGCAAATACATTTTCTGAGTGGAGGTACCATGCTAAATAAACTCTTAGACGATCCGTTAGTTCCCTCCACACTGTTGGTACTGCAAAAAATGTAATTTCCTTTCAACCGATTGAACTACTGGCGAAGGTTTGTTGCACAAATATTGCAGCATGTGTGGGACTCAGCTCTTGGCCTGATCTCCAATATTACAGCCAAAATAAAGGTGATATGCTTTAATAATCACGGCAGTTATACCAAGCTTTTGCTATGTAAAAGTCAATTCTCAATAAACACACACAAGAGAGTTATATGCACTCTTCATGTAATTATAAAGCAACTTTGTCCAAATTTGGCTGAAAAAAATCAATGTCAAATGCAAAAATTAGAGTTTGACACGCGTACACTGTATGAAATCTGGGAATGAACTGATGGGATCCAGTTAGTAGGGTTATGTGATACCTTAGTTCAGAGTTAATTATTCGTTTTTTGGCATTAGAGTTTCAAAAAAAAAAAAAAATACTGCTTATGTGGAAAATACTGTATATATTTTCCAGAAATTCAGTATTTATATGTAAATAGATGGCCATACTGTATTTAATAATATTTTGTCATAGAAAACGGAAAGCCTGCGTCTGTGCAGACGAGACTCGCCATCTTGGTTTTGAATTGGATACAACGGTAGCGTAATGGGAAGGAATTTTCGTGCTCTAGAGGTTAAAATTGGGCTGACACCTCTCAAATAGGAGGCGAAATTGTTGGACATGCATTCCTGCATAACTTGAGATATCAGACGACTGGACAAGACAGCTCCAGGAACCTCAGATAAGCTCTCTAGATTTGTGTATAATTCTGGCCAGTGTTTTCGTAAATTTAGTTAGTGAGGTTTTTCTGAGTATGATACAACTTAATATCCAGTCAAATTGGTGAGTGATATTAAGATATATTTTTCTTCTGTTATGTAATTGTGTATATATATAGCTATTATTTTTAATATACAGTCCACAAATTTATATATTTACCAGTATTCCTGGTGTATGTATATTTCATTTAATTAATAGGTTCAGAGCAACTTGTGGATATGACAGTGGTATGTATCGAAGGGGGACATTTTTTGCGACCTAGGTGTCCCAAATTCCTACTTGTTCTATGTAACTCTGATTAATAATTATCTTTGTTATCATTTACTGTTATGTACATAATTAGTTACATTCAGATAAATGCAATTTTCCACAGCTTAAATTAAAGTAAATTGTACAACTGGTGGTACATTCAGTACAAGTCTGTTCTCATCCCCTCCAAATAAATTAAGAAGCTTGAAAAAAAAAAGAGCTACTGTTGAGAAGGATTGGAAACCATATGTATTGTTTTAAATAATTACGCACTGTAGGTTTAAATCCAAGAGCCTTTTGCTGTACATTTTATTTACCTTCCTTCCCAAGTTAAGAACACCTGCCTGAGTCGGTATTTTTATGAAGAGAGCCAGTTTGTAATTTTAAGAATCATTTCCGTATTCAATGACTAAATATTAGTAAACATGACTAGTTTTGTATCGAAGCATTTTGGCTATAGACCCATGTTGCACTGAATAAACCTGAATAATGGTCGTTCATGTGATAATGTCGGACTGCTACTTAATACTGGCTTCAAAATTTCAGTGCTAAGTTAATTTTAAGAAAAGCAGGATGTTTATTGGGCTTTGTGGGTGCTTATTATAAAAAAAATGAGTATCATAATTACCCTTCTGCAGCACGAACAAACTGCTAAATCAAGCTGCAGAATTACACTAAGTTACACTGTCTTTACGCAATTTTCCTTTAAACTGTTGAAAAGGTGATAACTTTTATCTTATTTGGTTACCCGAAGTCAGTTTTGGGGGTCACCACCACCAAGACATGTTCCCAGACCAAGTCTCCATTTTGTAGGTCTGATCGAAAAATTTAGCTTATTCAACGTGATTGTAAATTTCTTAAATGTTATTCTCTATCATATGTTCTTGATAAAAGTGTTTGAAAATATCAGTCCATAGGATTCTGTGCTTTAAAAAACACTACCATCGAAAACCATGATTGCTTTATCCTGGGTCTAAAAGAACGTGTGGACACATTTCACGAGGTTTTGTCGAAATATAGATTTTCCCTGCAATTGATTGTGTTGATTTAAACTTCAACAGTGAGGGTGTGCATCCACAGCCCCTTGTTCTCTTGAGGGTTGAACTATAGCTCCTCTGTCTCTTCAGAATTTATAGTATAGAGCCCAGGTTTCATGCATAGATGGAGGTACAGTGAAAGGAAGCATGGTAATGTAGAACTTGTTTATATAAAGTAGGTATGATGGAGATGGTGTGGTGAAGTAGATAATGGTGATGCAGTAGTAATGGTGATGGAGTAGGTATGAGGATGGAAAAGGTAATGGGATGGAGAAGGTATGGGAATGGATGAGGCATAGAGATGGAGAAGGGATATGAAAGATGTATGGGGAAGGAAATACTGGGATGGAGGAGAAATGCGGATAAACGACGTACTGGAATAGATAAAGTATGTGGAAGGAACTATTGGGATGGAGGCTGAGGAAGTATCAGGATGGAGAAGGTATTGCGATGGAAAAGGATCATGGAGGTCATGTAAGTTGAAGGAAATGTGAAAGTGAGGGTAGGAGAATGAGGGAGAAGGGAGGGAAGGGAAGGGAGAGTGGAGACGGGAGGAGGGAAGGGAGGGAAGGAAGAAGCGGGACGGGAGAAGGGAATGTGGTGAACAATACGACAAAGATGGCATCGTGACTATGAAAAATAGAGAGGGATATTATGATAGAGGGAGGGGGTTTTAGGGAGGGAGGGAGGGTCGAGGATATTGAGGGTGGGAGCTCTAGAGATGTGGGGGTATTTTAGCAGGGAGGGTATGGAATATTAAGAGGAACGGTAAGGAATATTGAGAGTGTGAGGGAATATTGGGAGAAAGTGTGAGGGAATACTGGGAGGAAGTGTGAGGGAATACTAGGAGGAAGTGTGAGGGAATACTGGGAGGAAGTTTGAGGGAATACTGGAAGTGTGAGGGAATACTGGGAGGAAGTGTGAGGGAATACTGGGAGGAAGTGTGAGGGAATGCTGGGAGGGAGTGTGAGGGAAAATTGGGAGGGAGTGTGAGGGAATATTGGGAGGGAAGGTAAGGAATATTGGGAGGGAGGGTAAGGAATATTGGGGAGGGAGGGTAAGGAATATTGGGAGGGAGGGTAAGGAATATTGGGAGGGAGGGTAAAAAATATTGGGAGGGAGGGTAAGGAATATTGGGAGGGAGGGTAAGGAATATTGGGAGGGAGGGTAAGGAATATTGGGAGGGAGGGTAAAAATATTGGGAGGGAGGGTAAGGAATATTGGGAGGGAGGGTAAGGAATATTGGGAGGGAGGGTAAGGAATATTGGGAGGGAGGGTAAGGAATATTGGAAGGGAGGGTAAGGCATATTGGGAGGGAGGGTAAGGAATATTGGGAGGGAGGGTAAGGAATATTGGGAGGGAAGGTGGAGGATATTTAGATCGTAGCTTGTAACCTCCATTCAACGCAGTATCAGTCTCTTCCGCTTTACTACTATAAGTCAGATATTATGATCATTACTGGCTGTCTCACACGCCCCGAGGCAACCTCCCTGCTGCTGCTGTCGCCGTCACTTCTGTCACTGCTGCTGCTGTTGTTGCCACCGCCGCCGCAGCTACGGCTGTTGCTAATGTTACTGCTGCTACTATTGCTGTTATTGCAGCTGTCTGTTTTAGCCGTCATAAAGAATTTTACATCTCACATCATTTGTTTTTTTAACCGCCCAGTCTATTTAACATTAAAAGAAAATAATTTGATCAGACCAA